AAGCATTTCTATTTTTCTTTCTATATCTTACTCTAATTGAGCTTATTATTCATTTCCTCAGTTATACTTTAAATACCAATTATACTGCAATGTTTCTCTCGTTTTCAATTTCAATTAGATGTTTGCAATCTTTTAAAATTTGTATTATCCAAACTGTTTTTGATTTTTCTATCAAATCTTTTCTCGTTCCATCTTTTTAATCTTATTAATGATATTAACTTTCAACAAATAGTTCATATCTAAAAATGCTAATCATTTGATAATAACCATAATGATTAAAATTTTTGACTATTTTTTCTACATACTAGATGTCTGATTACCTACAAAGAACACCTGTTTTTCTTTTCTCAGAGAAATACTTTATTATATTTTAATTTTTTTAGTTTTCTTTTTAAACTTCTACTTATTTATTTAAATTTATTTACATTTAATCACGTATGTCTTTACAGTGTGCAACATTTCTCTTTCCAGTATGAATATCATGCAAATAGCTTCTCATTTTTTATCAATTAAACATACTTTTACTTTTTATTTTTCTTCCCCTTTTCCATCCCTCTTTTTCATACAAAACTTTTTTTTTCACATTTTAGTGATTCAAAAAAGATTTTAAATTCAAAATATGGACAAAGCTACAATCTAGTGACAGGTGCTCAGTAATTTTCTTCTGAAACATTTTTTTCTCTCTCCATTTCCCCTTTTACTAAAGAGAGGTATAAATAATGAATTCCCCCCCCCCAAAAAAAAATTAGGTTAGTCTCAATTTGGTTTGTTAAATGGAGAAAGCCCCATAAGAATTCAATTTCTGATGCAAGGCAATAGATACTACTGTATTATAAATCTTACACAAATAACCATTCTGCCACAAAATAAGAATGTTCACAAATATTTTCTAATTGCAAAGGGGCCAGGAAGGGAGAAAAGTTTTTGTTTCAATCACAAAATTTTTTTTAAAAATTAGCAAATTGATGAACTTATCAACAACTCACAAGAAAACTAAAATCCTTAAATGTGGAAGACAAAGCATAGAAGAAAATCAATAATGTTTCAGACAAACATCATAGAATTCTATTTCACCAGTTGAGTCTGATGTAATGTCTCTTTTGTTGAATTTGCAGTGTTATTGTGGTCTGATCTGTCCATTTAAGTCCTGGAAGTTAACATTCAACATTATTACTGATATTTCTGAACTTGTCCCTACCATTAAGTTGGCCTTTTTCTTGGTCATTTTTTGTTCTCTTATTTCTGTCTGTCTTTAGTTTTCCTGGTATAACACTCCCTTGAGAACTTCTCTGAGAGCTGGTCTGGTGGTTGGAAAATTCTTTCAGGTTTTGTTTATCTGAGAATGTTTTGGGCTTTTCTTCCCATATTAAGGATAATTGTGCCAGATGTAGTGTTCTTGGTTGAAATTGTTTTTCACTTAACACTTTGAATATATTTTCCCATTCTTTCCTTGCCTGCAATGTTTTCGACAGAGGTCTGATGTTAGCCTGATGGGATATCCTTTAAAAGTAACTTGATGTTTCTCTCTTGCTAATTTTATTATCCTGTCTCTGACTGTGGTTTTGGTCAATCTGGCTGTGATGTGCCTTGTAGATCTTCTTGGTTTGATTCTCTGTGGGGTTTGTGTTTCTTGGGTCTAGATATTTGAATGCCTCTCTAAGTTTGGAAAGTTTTCTTCCAGAATTTCATGGAATATATTATCAATACCTTGATTAATTTCCTCACCTTCTGGGATACCAATTATCCCCATGTTAGGGCATCTAATGATTTCTAATATTACTTGTATATTATTTTTATTTTTCTGGGCTATTTTCTCAGTCTTTTTGATTAATTTTTCTAGGTCAGAGGTTCTGTCTTCTACATCTGAGATTCAGTCTTCTGCATGATATAATCTTCTTTTAATACAAGGGAAGTTTTGATTTTCTATATTATAGCCTTCATCTTTAACAGTGCCATTTGATTCTATTTTATGGTGTGTATTTCATCTTTGAGTTTGTGTAAGAACTTTGTCACCTCCTGGAACACATTGTCTCTTTTTTTCTTCATCTTCTGGAGTTTGTTGTTTTTCCATTCTTACATCTCTGTTTGCTTTGTCACTGTGAATATTCTAAATTCTTTATCTGATATTTCCACAAGTTCCATTGTATTGCCTATGAATGATGAAGGGCTGTTCTTTTTGAGGAGAGATATTTTCTTGGTTTTCCATATTTCTTGTGCCTATGTGGTTGTTTCTTGTCATCTAATGGAGTATAAGTTTCTTGCTACTTTCTTGGAGTTAATTCTGAGTGTTAGAGGCATGTGGGAGGAGATAATCCTGCAATATCTCTACAATTTCATTTCCTTGATCTTCACCAAGCATCCTGCACTTTTGTGATGGAACTAGATATTACAAAGGCCTCCCAGTTTCTAAAGAATAGGCGTACCTGGGCTGAACTGTGGGGTTTCATCTAAGAATTCAGTGGTGTGGGGGTAAGATAAGCCATGCCCTCTGCAACTCTGTGTTTCTTTCTGCTGATCACTTAGCAGTCTCTCTTCTCTGATTTTTGATCACTTAGTGGTATATTCACGTTTGGCTAATTTTTTAGAGATTTCTGCAACTGTAAGCTCATATGCTTCACTTTACTGTGAGATATATCTATTCCAGTTTCTCCTCTGCTACTGTGTTTTGCAATGTAGTATCCACGGAAGATTTTTGAATTCTGATTTATGAAGACTAGTTTCTCCTTTTCTGTAGCAGTTCAGTGGGTATTGAGATTTTCTATGGCCTAAAAGTATTAAGATGTTTCGCTGTTGTGCACCTAGACCTGTTTAGACACTCAAAGTGTGGAAGCTGAGAAACAAGGTGAGATATCAGGTATAAGAAAGGAAACAAAGGAAAAAAGAAAAAAAATCCCACAAACACAACTATTGAAAGTGAAAAAAAAATTTTAAAAAAGGCAAAAAATGAAGGAGCAGAGCTGGGCCCTCCTAAGATACATATGAATTCTGAAATTAGTAAGATAAAAAGGAGGTCAGAGGTAAGAGACAGAACTTACAGATTTAAAATATCTATCTATCTATCTATCTATCTATCTATCTAAAGAGAAAAATCTTGAGAGAAATGGGGAGAGAGAGAAATAGAGACAGAAAGAAGATAGAGACTGCCCTACCTTACTTTGCTAGGTGTTAGGTTGGAAGAAGAGGTTTGGAGCAGAGGCCTTTTCAACTAGAGGAACAGGGCTGGGCCTACCTCAGATGCACATGGATTCTTGTTTTGCTTGGTGTTGGGCTGGAGTTATTTTATTATTCAACAGTCAGTGTTTAGCTTAGTATTAAATTTTTATTTTTTATTGTAGGTGTTTGTCATAGAGTACATGCACAGACAGAAAGAAGCAAATAAGAGATCACCTTCTGAGGGGATGGCCACACTAAAATCTCTTCTTCATTCTTCTTGTGGGATTTTGGGTATACATGCACATGTGCCTGGGGTGATTTTCAAACTGAGAGGTCTAGGACTCGTGTTTGGCCATGTGCAAATCCACTGCCTTAACCACCACACCACCTGTTGGCTCTCATTTTTAATTTTTTCATAAATTAGTGTCAGCACTAATGGTAAGTGCTGAAGTTTAAGGCTAAGTCATAAGTGATTCAATAATTCTGTGGCTGGGAAGATGGTGGTGCTACAAAACGATCACTAGAGGAGGAAAAAAATATTAGGTTGTTGAAAAAATCACGAAATATTTTCTAGGCAGAAATATGCCGTGACCTTTCCAATAATGAAATACTTGTTCAGGAAGATAACATTTTTTTAAAATGTGAGTTTGAATGAAGGTTTTTATGAAGAACATTTTTTTCCATCTTAAAATTTTCATCTGAAATTATATTCTAGGGTTAGCATTCCAGTTGACATACAGTGTAAGCCTCATAAGCAGTTTATGATTTTCCAGTTAAGTTATAGGTGAAATTAATTTCAATAGCATATAGTTTTTAGCCTACCATAGAAATATTGTAATATACAAATAATCACCTAATTTAGAACATTATGATTTTAATCTATACTGAATTAAGAAGGATAAGATTATTTGCATATTTTTTTCAATGCACACTGTTAAAACCAGTGTTTACTACTTAGAGCATATCTTACTTTTGATGAAATTACATTTCAGGTTCAATGGCCACATAGGACTAGTGGCTAATGTATTAGTATTAGGAAATGTAGCTTTAAAGGGTTTGAATTTTGGAAGGTCAGTTTATCTAAATATCATTTGATGATAGGTTATATATTGGTAACTGCAACTGAAAATTTTTGTAGGGAATAATCAACACAAAGGTGGTGTGATGTGAAACTGGGAAGCATATCATCCAAGGAGAGAATATTTATGGAGAAGAAAAGGCAAGGAATATAAAGCAGAGCACACTGAGAAGTAATCCAAAGATCATGAAAGTCAAATGAGGAGTGAGATTCTCTTTTCAGAGATCCTGGATAAGCTGAAAAAATTTATGCTAAGAGAGATGCATTGCATTGGTCAATGTGGAAATCCTTTGTAATGTTTAGAAAAAAGGAATTTATAGAGTGGTAGGGTTAATTGACATTCTCATTGGTTTGGAGCTAGTTTTAGTTAGAGTACTTTTCTTTGCCAATCTCTCTCTTTTTTTAAATATTATTGTGATAGTTACTTTATTCTATCTTATTATTTAATGTCCAGTATATCTTATTTTTCAGTTTTTATAACAGTGGAAGGAAATTATTCAGATAACTTATTTCTTTTGCTGGAGTTGGAGTAACAAATAACTTGACTTATTTATCTGTAATTGTCTTGGAAAAAAATTCATTTAATAGGCTGTTGTCCAGAGAAATATTTAAGTTTTATATTAACTATTCTAGGTTTCTCAATAAGATTAAATTTTAATAAGAAAGAAAATATGATATTTAAACTAAATTAACAGGTATGCTAAGTTAACAGTTATACGGTTTAATGTTCTAGATATTTTTAGCTTGAATGTCTGTTTTCTTCCTTTAGTCATCAAGAGTTCATATAACTCGAGCTGTTCTGGAGCAATTTTTATCCTTTGCAAAATACCTTGATGGTTTATCTCATGGCGCACCTTTGTTGAAGCAGCTTTGTGATCACATTTTATTCAATCCAGCCATCTGGATCCATACACCTGCTAAGGTATGAATTTTACTCTGATTTATTTTATTTTAGTTTAATGTTATAAATTACAGTTACTAAATTGAAATAGCTGGAGAAAACATTTGTAATTTTTAGCTTAATTTATAGTCAATCTGAAGCAGCTGTGTTAGGTACTATCAGAGATGAAAATATTAACTTTATATAAATATTAAAATAAATGAAACTTTAGTTAAAAAACAAAGCTTTTTATTATACCACATTCTGAAGTCATTCGATGTGATGTATACCTTTCCAAGGAAGGTATTCTGATATACCAGTTATTGAAAGAGTAAGAAGAGAAGACATATAATTGATTGTGTCATAAGCATTGTAATCTTTTCTTTTTTTTGAGAGAGATTTTTGCTATAGGGCACGTGCGCTCGCCAGACAGAGAGAGAGACAGAGGGACAGAGAGCGAGAAATCATCCCCCGCCCCCCGCCCCGGGGGATGGCCATGCCGCAATCCCCTCTCCTTCGTTCTCCTCTTGGGATCTTAGGCATGCACGCATGCACACGTGCCTGGCATGAGTGTTAAGCCACCGGGTCCGGAACGCGAATCGTGGTCGACTACATGGGAGTCCAGCAACATAGCCATTACACTAACTGCTGATCCCCATTGTAATCATTTTGACTAGAAAATTGCTTTCATTTTGAATATAGAATTTAAATCATAGTATGTAAATATTTGTTTAAAACTAGATATATACACATAACAAAATATTTTTTATTTTATCTAAATATGTAAAACATTTTTAGATCTTAAATTCTTATAGTTTTATATATAGAACTTAGTTATATTTTAGGCAATGGAAATCATCAGTGAGGGGTATTTTGATTTTTGAGCTACTTTACAATTTTAAAATTTTCTTTATAATTTAGGCTTAAACAGAGTTTAAGTTCTGATTTCAGTTATGGCTCATCATATTAATTATTGGACTAAACCCAAGTCTAATGTTTGTTTACTCCTTTATTTTTAAGCAACGTGTCTGACTTGCCGTATTCATGCTCACATAGTTGCTGAAAGACAGCTATATACTGGACAATAGGTTAAGAAAATTTGAAGTTACATGAACTTTTAGGACATATGACTACCATACATATGTGTGTGCATATATATGTATATGTGGGTATACATATATAGTGTGTGTGTGTGTATATATATATATGTGTATATACATGTGTGTATGTTTTTTAAGATACGTGATAACCGATGCTAGCTCTGTTTTTATGAAGAAATATATACACTATATGTATACAGCTACTGAAAGGAACTTTGCTTATAGGCTTTAGTCCGGTTGACTTTTAAATGATTTGATTTTAGATTAGTTTCATGGGAATTTGAATTATTTTAAATATTTAAATGTCAGTAGCTGTTAAATTACCTTTATTATGTTTTATTAGAATGTGTTGATTATAAGTATTTTCTTTTTAAAATACACGAGATATTTAAGAAAATTTATGTTTAAAGTCATAATAAATGGTCATTTCTTGGCTGATTTACATTTAAATTAGAATGGAATCTATGTAATAGAGGCACTTGAGATATTTTAAATTTATTTTAATGATCTATGATTACTTCGTTTTAGGTTCAACTTTCCCTGTATACATATTTGTCTGCTGAATTTATTGGAACTGCTACCATCTACACCACCATACGGAGAGTAGGAACAGTATTACAGCTAATGCATACATTAAAATACTACTACTGGGTTATTAATCCTGCTGACAGTAGTGGCATCACACCTAAAGGATTAGGTAAGTACAGTGCTACTACTGTGTTTACATTTTCTCATGATACTTTTATCTGTGGAAAACTATATAATGAACAGATGTGTGATTATGAAATTATCACTAAACTCTTTAATCTTTTGTATAGTAGACTGATATATTGAGAATTGTTTATGGTAAAGAAGAACTTTATAGCTTTGCAGTGTTTGATTGTTTTTAGAGTAAAGGCGTGTCCAGGAAGTTTTTTTTTTCTTTTTTCTTTTCTTTTCTTTTTTTTTTTTTTTTTTTTTTTGAGAACTTTTTGCTATAGGGCGTGTATGCTCGCTAGAGAGACAGAGAGAGACAGAGAGACAGAAAATGAGAAATCACCCCCCAGGGGAATGACCACACTGCAGTTCCTTCTCCTCTCGGGATCTTAGGAATGCACACATGCACACGCGCCCGGCGTGAGTTTAAGCCACCGGGTCCGGGACTTGAACCGTGGTCGATCACATGAGAGTCCAGCGACATAGCCATTATGCTAACTGCTGGTCCCAAAAGAAACAATATTTTTAATTTAACTTTTTTTTTTTTTTAAATAAGTGAGAGCAAGAGAGTGTGTACAAAAAGGGGAGAGGAAGTGACAAGTATTTTTGACAGAATATCCTCATGTCATGATCCTTCTGTCCTGGCTTCCTGGTCATCTAGGACCACAGGCATGTGCCAATATGTACAGCCTGTGAAGATTGGTTCAGAAATGGAATTTGGTCATTCCATGTTTTCTCAGCCATTTATCAGAGGTGCCCTTCCTGTCTTAAAACTACAGCGAGGTCTTAAGTGCTTTTTTTGATTCAGGAAGATAAATTTAGAGTACTTAAAGTAAATGGATGATATTAGTCATGACCAGTGTGCTTGAGTACAATTGCTTTCAAATTGTTGCTTCCCTTTAAATTTTCACTCTAAATTTGCCTTTTTAAAAACATTTAAACTTTCTTTTTTTTTTAATGAGAGAGACAGAAAAACAGGTTCTCCACTAGAGATTCACCACTGGGGTGTTAAGAGTGCTTTTCTCACAGTAGTGTTGAATGTTACAGTTTTATAACTATCTTTCCAAGGAAAAATAGCATTCTCTCTTTTAGTATTTTTATAAGCTTACTCATTTCTTTTTATTTTCTAGATGGAACTTAAAAAATTGTTGTACACACTCAGATTTATTATTTTGTTCTTTTATAGCTTCTTTTATTGCTTTGCATTGATAATACATAGAATTTATTGAATGTTGACACAAGTTGAATTCTCTGCTAAGCAATCTTATGTGTGTGTTCCTTTGTCCAATCACGTCTCTATAATTATAGATACGTAGTTATATTTTTACATATACTTAAGACTATATGTATGTGTGTGTGTATACACACACACACACACAATCCCAATCCCATTTCACAGATTAGGAAACTGAAAGTTGGTACAAAGTGATAGAACATATCTTTGTATCATATCTGACTTGGAACCTTTGTTCTTTTTAAAATTATTCTTATTCATTACAGAGCACATTTGCATGCCCAAGAGAGAGAGCATGGGCTTGGTCATGGTACAATTCACTTCCTCTAGTCCTTCACCTGCCAACATCCTGGACATGTGGGCACATGTTGTATATGTTTTCAGTCGACTGGGCCAGAAATTCAAACTGGGGTCAGCATGTAACTTGCAGCTGTGCAGTCTGTGCCACAAAGACTATACTGTTTTGTTTTTAAAATACTATTTATTAGCAGAGTTTACTCCAGACAAATCATATATTCACACATTGTAATTTCTGTTTTACAAAATAGTTGCAAGAGTAGTAAAAAGTTTTTCACATGCCCCTCACCAGATTCCCCAATATTTTTAGTTTACTACATAGGCTTTATCATTCTCTTTTACTCTCTTTCTTTCTCTGTGTACACACACATACACACACACACACACACACACACATAAATATATTCACATATACATATTTTTTCTGTATCAATTGAGGGTAAATTGTAGATGTGGTGCCCTCTTGCCCCTAAATATTTTACTACGTTTTGTCTAAAATGTAAAGTCACTCTGTTAGATAACTGTGGGCATCCATTAAAATCAGAAAATAAGCTTTAATACAATATACTCTAATCCAGAGACCCCATTCAGATTTTATCAGTTACTAAATAATGTCCTTTATAGGAAAAAGAAAATATTTCTTTTACCCTGAATTCCAGTTGCATGTGGTATGTTGCCTTAAGTTGCCTTCATTTTAATGTTTGGTAACGTAGGCTACTTTTTTCTAGTATTTCCTGTTTTTCATGACCTTAACATTTCTGAAGGATACAAGGAAATTATTTTTTAGAATACCCCTCAATTTGAATTTGTTTGATATTTGCTCATCATAATGTAATTTTTTTATTCAGGAAGAAATAATACAGAAGTCGTAGTCGTTCTGTCTTGTTATATCATGGCAATAAAGGATATGATGTTGGGTTGTGTTATTACTAGTGATGTTAAATTTGATCCCTTGATTAGGGTATTGTCTTCCACATTTCTCTATTACAAAACTATTTTCTCTTTCGCAATTAATAAATATTTGGTGTGTGGATTCTTAGGTCTTCAGGACAAATTTCATAATTTTGTATTACTTCATCACTTTCTAGCACAAGATGTCCTTGATTCATCTTAAACTTGCCTTGCCCTAGTTGTGGAATTAGCCATTTATTCAAGGAGCCCAGGTTTGCTTTTTGAATACTATTTTTAGGAACAAAGATCTGGGGGGAAAAATGAACATCTGTGTGTTAGGTGTGCTTATTCTTTATATGTCATTACTTCTAGGGACTTTTAGTGAACATATCTAGAGTATGTGTTTATATGTTTTATATGTATATACATATACATTAAAATGTACACACACACACACACACACACACACACACATTCTTATATCATGATCTGCCTATATTGAAACCATTACTTCAGAGACTGGGAGTTGGTATGGTGGTTAAGTTGCTGGACTCCCACATGGCTGACTGTGGTTTGAGTCCTGGATCCTTTGACTTGAAACTCATACCGGGCGATCATGCTTGCATGGCTAAAATCCTTGGAAGAGAATAGAGGAGAAGGGATTGCAGCATGTCTATCCGCCTTTGGGGGGTGACTTTTCATTTTCCCTCTCACTGTCTCTCTCTGGAGAGTACAGGCACCCTCTGGCAAAAACCTTAGGAGGAAAAAAACCCATGAGTTTGTACCCTCAATTCCAGTCTAAAATCATATTGCCCAACTTAGTCTCAAATTTCTTAGAGTTGCAGCTTTCTTCTCCAATATTGAAAAATCTGGCCCTCATTATCTTTAATATATATTTTCTTGGGCCAGCTGGTGGTGTGGTAATTAAGGTGCTGGACTCCTACATGGCTGACTGTGGTTCAAGTCCTTGAAACTCTCACTGCATTGTGTGCATATGTGCCCAAAATCCTGAGAGGAAAATGGAGGAGAAGGGATTGCAGCATGACTATCCCCTCTGGAAGCAGATTTCTCACTTTCCCCTTTCTCTTTCTCGCTCTGTCTTCTCTTCGCTGAGCACACTTGCCCTGTGGCTAAAACCTAAATATGTATTTATCTCTTTTTTTCTTGCTTCACTTTATGAAACTAGGGTTTTGACACACGGATACACCTTCTCTTTCTCAGCTTTACCAGTGCAGTCGTCTCCAACTACCTCCTTAGATCTGACTGAATGATCCTTGCTGCCTCCACAGCCTCAGTTATTTTATTGGTACTGACTTCACTATTGACCTCTATTATCTCCCTGGCTGTGAAAATCCTGCCAGACTCAGTTGCTTCCTCGGATCTCGCAGCCCGTGGGTGTCCCTGTTGTTTCTTCGGGACCCTGATCCTTAGGCCTCAGCTGTTTCAAGGAGAGGGAAGGGAAAAGAACCAATGAATATATCTTAAGGAAAATTGACAGTAAGGTAGAAGAGCAGTAGTTTTTTAATGACTTAATTTATTGTTACTTTAGCCTTTACTCTTTGTGAAATTGATTTTGTTTAGTGGAATATTAGGGTCTGACTTGAAATACATGGTTTTCTAAATCACAGCTTTTTATAATTGACCTAATTGATCAAAATCTACTGTTTTGTAAGAACAATCTAAAGGTAATTTATACTACACCAACTTTCGTAGAATTATCGTTTATCTGTAGGCACTCACATTGAGAAATAGGATTTTTTTTGTTTGGAGTGTGACTTATCCATTTTGTCCCTTGCATTATCATCATATAGGTTCTTTGTAAAAGCATTTATATATGTTAGAAATACAGTAATACACATTTATGGTAAAAAGTGAAATGATAGCTAATTTGTAAATCTTATAAATCCATCCACCTCCTTTTCTCTGCTCATATAAACAGAAATTTATGAAGATTTATTTTGAGTGTGTCATGAACATGAACTGGTATAACTAAATATATAAATATCTGTAGTAGTCCCCTTTCACCCATGAAGGATATGTTCTAAGACCTCCCTCGAATATCTAAAACTATGGATAGTCGCCTATATATTAGGTCATCAGGAATATGATGTATTTTTTCTATGTTTTTCTATGCAAAATTGCATCATGACTTTTCCAAGGACCCAATATACTATATATATATATTTCCCTATACATATAACTGTGATAAATTTTAGCTTATAAATTAGGCACAATAAGAGATTAATAGTAACTATTATTAAAGAACAGTTATAACAATGTATTATAATAAAAGTTATATGAATGTAGTCTATCTTTGTCATGATATTGTTTTGTATTGTACTCACTGACTTTCAGATGATGGTAAACTATTGATTAACTATGAGTAACAAGATATGGAAAGCTAAACTGTGGATAAGAAGAGACTACTGTATAAGTGTATTTACAGTGAACGTCATTTAAATATCACAGAGCTTAAGAAATAGGAAATTGCCTGTACCTCAGTACGTGTCCATTCATGGTCACATCATCTCCTTCCTATTCCCTGCTTTACAGATAACCCATTCTAAAATTTATGTTTATTATTACTTTTAAATGGGTTTATTTTATTATTTCTCATTATGGTTTGCTTTACTACATATGTATTCTTAAACAGTTGATTCTCTAGCTTTTGTATTTTACATAAGTTTTTTTTTTTCTTTCAGTTTTTGCAATGAGGTACATATGCTTGTTTGCCACAAAGAGAGAGACAGGAAGCAACAGAGAGGGAAAGTGAGAATTCACTCTCCACTGGGGATGGCTACATTGCAGTCCCTCCTCCATTCTTCACTTTGGACACACATGCATATGTACCTGGTGTGATTTTTGAGCCAGTGGGTCCGGAACTTGAACCACACAGTTGGACATTTGAGATCCAGTGTCTTACTGTCTGTGCTACTGCAGGCCTAATAAATGGTATAATTTGTGATTTGTTTTTTCTCTCAATTTTGTATTTGTTAGCTAAATCTATTTGTGTTTTATTTTGTAGCACATGGATTCATACCACACACGAAACACCATACATATGTACATATTTTAGTGTAACATGAATTGTGCAAAATAAGACAATAGTAATTAGAGATAACACGTCCTGAATACTTACAATTGAAATGGCCCAGGCACTATTTTAATTACTTTCCACATGTTGATCCATTTAATCCCCACAGAATATCATCATGACATAGGCGATATTACTGTCTTCATCTTAACAATAAAGAGAAAACAAATCTGAGGCAAAGAGTTATTATAATCTTGTCTAATTTCACTAAGTGGTGGTAAAAATGTAAATAAAAGTAAGGAAATTATTTCTAAGCTAATGGCTGTCTCTACTGGGATGGAATGGGGGATGTGGTCAGGAAGAGGAATGTGGCACATTGTGGAGAACTGGAGTAGGGTAAGGACTTTAGTATGCTGGCAGACTGGTGCCACAGAATTGTTACATATACAGGAGTTTCACCAGCTTGTTGTGAAACCATTGGTAGCTTGACTTGAAATCAGTCATGATGGAAGTATTTATATGACAGATATCAGAAATACGTATTGGATTGTTGGAAGTCAGGATGTATTTTTTCTGTATAAAAATGTGTCATGACTTTTCTGAAAACCCAATAAATGTACCAGGATCTTGATTTTCTACCCAGTATTGTTTCTTTACCAACATCCCTACCAGTGGTTGCAGGATTTCAGTTTCTTGACATAAAAAGTAGTTATATGGGTATTCATTTAATAATAATTCACCATGTTGTACATTTATGTTTTCTGTACATGTGCTGTATTTCACAATAAAAAAGGTTTAAACTAAGTAATTTCATGTATTGGTGAGGAGTGAAAGGGTAATTTGTTTACTGTTGGTAGGAGTGGAGCAAAAATACAGAGAGTAGTTGGGGAAATGAAGGGATGTCTTTCTTAATAATGAAACCTGGAGGAACCAGTAGTGAATCCAAGTTTGGCTGCAACGAGAGACACAAATGTTGATGGAAAGGAAAGTTACCTTTATTCAGGGAGCCAGCAGCTTGAGAAAATGGCAGACTGATGTCCCACAACCATCTCCCCATTTCCAGTTTGATAAGGCTTTTTAAAATGAAGCTAGGATGCAGACTACATGTTGTTTTGCCCAGCACAGCCATTTGTCATCTTTTTGACCAATGACCAGAGACAAGTTGATGTCAGCATTGTGGCTGGGTTGGCAGGACCTGGTCATCAGGGCAGAAGTTCTACCTAAAGCACATCTTATTCTTGGATTGTGTCTCAAGGCCTGATCCCTAGTGTCTGCAAAATCTCAGCAAATATCTCCATGATTAGTTTCTGCAGAAAACAAGATTTATTATGCCAAAGAAAGAAAAAAGCTAAAAAATCTTTGTACAATATTTTAACCTGTGATAATTGTATTTAAGGTGCTACTTTGGTTTCTCTTGTATCTTGGGCACAATAATAGGTAGAATGGATTGTTTGGGTCATAATTTGCTTGCAGAGCTAATGATCTGCATGAAAATATTTGTTGAGCAAATGAGCATATGTTATAAATTATACATGAAGAGATTATGCTTTTAAAATTTATAAAGTAGCTGTATAAATCCTGGGTGCTTAAAAAAGGCTTAATGTTAAAGGATTTCTGTGGGTCTAGCTAGATTTCCTTTTTTAATTTTTAAATTTTTTTGTACATTCAATCACTGTATATATCATTACAGCTTACAAAATGAATTTTCCCATCATGAATACACTGTATATTAGTCCTGTTAAAGATATTATCATACATGTCACCATGAACAGATAATTTTTCATTTGTGTGTCCCTTAAGTTTTTGCTTCTAAAAGTATATATATATAATAGCTATGTTATTTCATATCTCATTTTTACTGATAATTAGATATTTTTAATTAATTCCTTTAAAAAATTAGACATTATGCGGATTGGCAGATGGTGTAATGATTACAATACTGGACTCCCACATAGTCGACCACAGTTTGAGTCCTAGACCTATTGGCTTTAAACTCAGCACTGGGCATGTGTATGTGCATGCCCAAAATCCTGAGATGAGAATGGAGGAGAATGGATTGCAATGTGGCCATCCCTCTTGGGGGATGATTTCTTGCTTTCTGTCTATGTCTCTCATTGGTGGGTGCACAAGCCCTTTAGCAAAAACTCTCTAAAAATAAAGTTAGACATTATGCAACTAATATGTACATTTTATCTTTTCATATTCATTTTTACTTATTCAGTAAGCATTTATTTACTGGGCATTATTAATATTTTGTATGTAAGGGTGACATGAATAATTATACTAAAGGAAAATGGCATGCCTTTTTCTGTGCTTTTTAAAGCAGTCTATTGGATGAAAAGAGAGAGTCTTTAAAAGAACACAGATTTAATTGAGGATGGAAGAAATAGTGGTAGACTTACTAAGATAATAAAAATAGGACAAAGTATCTGTGTAAATGTTTGACAATATATGCTTAGCAATAGATACATATCATAATTTTTCAAAAGTTCTTTTTCTCCAAATCTGATGTTCATTTAATAAGTTGAAATTGCCAGAAATCTGAGAATTAATTCTTGAGTATCTGATTGTAATTATGTAACATTACTACTAATAAATACTATAATTTTAATAAATATAATTACTAAAGCATTCATAATATGCCAACATAGTTGCATTAATGATATTTAATATCATTTTTTTCTTTCCTTTTTCCCTTCATTCTAGATGGTCCTCGGCCATCACAAAAAGAAATCATATCACTACGGGCATTTATGCTCCTTTTTCTGAAGCAACTCATACTGAAGGTAAAATAATTTTATATAATACAGAATTATAATATAGTAGGTGTAAGATTTGGGGCATAGTTTTAGGTCATTATTATTAAACTATCACTGCCTACCTTTAATTCGTGTATTATTTTCAAAATTTTATAAATCTTAGTGTTATGTTTTTATCTTATTTTTTGGTTAAATGCTCTTTGAAATTTTCAATATGAAGGGATGTGGCAGAAAAAGACAAAGAATTTACTAATAAAACTTTAACATAAGGATTTTATTTTAGAAATTGTCTATGTTCTATAAGAAGGCTTGCATTTTGTATTTAGTAAGATTTTTTCTTAATTTTTTATTATTTTTTTTGTTATTGGGTGCATGTGCTTGTCAGAGAAAGAGAGTGAGAGAAAGCACTCCCTGGGGGAATGGCCATACTAGTCTCTTCTCATGCTCCTCTTGGCATTTTGGACATGCACACACATGCCCAGCATATTTTCCAAGCTCTTGGATTTGTGAGGTCAACCATGCAGTTGGCCATGCAATATCCATCTATCTGCCTTATCCCCATGGGGGAATGGCCATACTAGTCTCTTCTCATGCTCCTCTTGGCATTTTGGACATGCACACACATGCCCAGCATATTTTCCACGCTCTTGGATTTGTGAGGTCAACCATGCAGTTGGCCATGCGATATCCATCTATCTGCCTTATCCCCACTCCACCTGGATAGCCTATTTTTAGGATTTTTTAAAGGCGATTAAGATGAAGACAAAAAGAAAACAAAGCTAAAATTGTTAGATAATACATAAAGTGTAGGAGAATTTTAATTAAAGCTTACCACTTTAAAGTTGCTCTTATTTCTTTAATCATTTTAATGCCTTTTTTTAAAGTTTTAATTTAAGATTTAAATTCAGTAATAAAATATTTGTCTTGAAATTAGGATCGAGGGGTTAAGGAAGATGAACTTCAGAGTATATTAAATTATCTACTTACAATGCATGAGGTAGGATACATTATGGGTCATCTATTTTAATTATTTAATGTCAAGCTTTAGAATAAAATTGTAACTAAATAAATATTGATTATCCTACTGTGCAGGATGAAAATATTCATGATGTGTTACAGTTATTAGTGGCTTTAATGTCAGAACACCCAGCCTCTATGATACCAGCATTTGATCAAAGAAATGGAATAAGGTATGATTATGAGTATGATATTAGACTTTAATAGAGCATAATTGTACACCATAGAATACTCCCTTAGTCTGTGAACATTTGAATAATATAGCAAAATCTTATCTCTAAGAGGGAGAAAGCTGCTATTAATCCTCCAATGCTGAAGGAAACTAATGAAATATATAGAAAATGGTCTCAGGAATCAAGAAAATTAATTAAATTGCTGCTACTATAGTAAAGATATTTACAGCAGTAGGGAGAGCAAATGTTTTGCAAGACAAGAAAGAACATGGTATGTTCCAGCAAAAGAGGATAGAAGAGAATTTATACAAAATTTGTCCCAGGAAAATTCAAATGGTCATATTTGAAAGGTTCAAATAGTAATTAATATATTTAGAAAGATTTTTCCTGTTGATAATGAAAATGAAAGGATTTTAAATGGGGAAATGAGGTACTCAAATTGTCATTTAATAAATGTACAACCAGCAATGAATTAGAGAAAGATAAAACTGATGCGAGATCACCGGAGAGATTGTTTTAACTGTTAGTATTAAAACCAATAACCTAAGGTAGTGGCAGAGCAATAGGAATAATAGAGATGCAAGATGTCTTGCAACAAGAGGCCAAAACCAAATAAATTGTGACACATTGGAAGTAATCCTACAAAGGCAAGAGTTTTAGTATTAAAATAATATTTTCGATGCGTGGTATGAAAGGATCGATTAAGCAGTACAAATACAAAGGCCTCCTGCTTCTGGTTGATCACCAGGTGAATGGGTCAAATTGTTACCAATATGTTAAGAACAATCAAAGAGAAAATTGTCTTTAGTTTTAACTTCAATTTTCCTGCCTCAAAAATGTGGAAAAGTAGGCTCAGAGTAGTTTTATAGAAGATGGAAAAAAATAGGTGTACACAAGTATTGAAAATAGTATGTATAGCACTTGAAAGTCTGTGTTCTAGAAAATAGACTCTAAAGGGTAACAGTTATATGTCAAATGGTTTTTGTGGGGAAAATTTTAGTCAGTTGTATTTCTTGCATACTAAGAAATAAACAAAAATTTGATGGTGGCTTTTTGTTGGTTTTGTTTTGTTTATAATTTTATTATTCTTAGAGGGCGGTTGCACTTGCCAGAGAGAAAGGAAAAGCAGCCTCCACTGAGATACAGCCATGCTGATATAGAAGAAAAGCATCCATTTCTCCATCCTGTCAGGATTTTTGTCCCACATGCACATGCTCCTGTCATCGTTTTCAAGCTACAGGGTCTGAGAGTCTAATCATAGTCACCCATGTCAGATCTGGCTCCTAATGCACAGCATTTAACCTCTATACCACAGAGCCAACCCAAGAATTTGATGTTTTTATATCTGGAAATTTTTTGAAGAAAAGAATAGACAATTACTTGTCTTACATAGCTTAGACCATTTTAAGCTGAATATAGAAAGCTTGAAAGGATGAATTAGGATTTATAAGTACTTATGAGTAAGCATACACTAGATGATTTGTTAGTAAACATTTTATTCATGCTGCATCACAGTCCTGTATAGGTCAATATGTGATAGCTCTAGAAATTTCTGTGTTTCAGTGTTAATCGCAATTTCTGTTGATGCGAGAGGGGATTTTATGCCTTCACCCCTCCCACCTCCTGTTGACAGTTATTTTAAAGAACACAGAAATTCTATGGGAACTTGATTCTGTATCTGAATGTAGCCATGTTTTTGAGTTGTGTTTTGTCTTTGATTCCCCAGATTATTTCTGCTGTTGAATGTTCTTTCTGAAGCTGTACTAAATATTTCTTATGGATATATATAATGACTTCCCTATTCTTACTTGTAGTTTAGGGGAGAACCGTCCCTACCTAGCTCAGTAGTTAAGGGACTCAGACCCCATATAGCTCACCATGATTTGAATCCTGACTGGGTGACTTGAGAAATATGCCATGAGCATGTGCTTGTATGCCCAAAGTCCTGACTGGATGGTGATATGAAGGGAAGGCAGTATGACCACATCCCAACAAGAGGTGCTTTCTTCCTCTTTCTTTCTCTCTTCTCTTTCTATCTTCTCTCTGGCAAGTGGCATACCCTTGGGCGATTAAAAATATAATAATAATAATAAAAAAAACTTGTCCTTTTTGTTACTGAACTTAGTAGCTATAAATTCTGCAAACTGATTTAAATGTGAACACATATACAAACTCATATGTGGTATTTAAATAAAATTATCTTCTAAGGAACATTATCGCTCTGTAGTTTACCTCTACTTACAGTCTATTCCTCAGAAGATTAAAAAAAAAGAAAGATATTAATAGGAAGCACTTGAAAGTCTGTATTCTAGAAAATGGACTCTTAACTGGTTACGGTTGAAAAAAATATCAACAATTTTTTTCATAATATAAGCTACTGGTAAAAGTAAAATAAGTTATATTAATTAACATTAAGCTATTTTTCTTCTTTATGAATGTTACTGAATTGGTAAGAAAATTATATTGCACCTTATTTTACTAGCTTTGTTTGTTGAGATTAGATTACTTTGACTTTCAAATATACCATGATATTTTCCTTTTTTTAAATAAACATACTTAGTCTAAGAAAATACACCCTAATTTCATAGAATTGCCATTGTTAACTTCACAAAGAACCTTCTTAGATTTTAAAATTAATTGCAAAACTATATATCAGTAGTTATCATTGCTCCCTTCTATCTTATGGGAAAATTTATAGATTTATTTTTACAGATAAGATAACATTTCTAAAATATCTATAAATTTATAATGAATATGACCCTGTTTTTATAGAGAATTGAAATGACTAATTAGGGTGTGTGATTTTTTAGTAGAGCCCTCCCCCCCAGTAACAGAAAAACCTTTCATACTGTTTTATGTCAAAAGTGAATAATTTATTAGTTCATAAAAATCTAATTAGAGTAGGAACCAGGAATTGCAAAACTAATAGGAAATGAGTTTGCTTTTTCCGTTATTTCTTTATGTCTGCTTTATTCTTACAGAATCTGTATTTTGACCAGCTTCCCTAAACAGAAACAAAGCATTGGTGTCCTAGTTGCTGTTTTAAGTTATTTCTTAACTTAAGAGTCCCACAAAGACTAAATACTGTTTTCTCAGGCCTTATTTCAATTTCTCAAAAAGGAGAAATAATCAAAATTAAGTTCAAATGCTGAGGGCAGTTCTAAGAGAAGAAGAGATATGACCTAACTAAACATGTATCTTAAAATGGAAAACTTTTGTTCAGTGTTCTGGGTTATGAATAATCAATCACATTGCTCTTTTGAATAGATATTCAAAAGCCAAGTTAAAATAAAAGTAAATGTGCTAATTTAAAATTTTTCTGAAAATTGCAAAATTTTGTAAAGAATTTTATATTTGATATATTTATAACTTATTTTTACAGTTCTTTTTTTTATTGGTAAGTTCCTAAAAGATATTTTACATATTTTTCAGGGTGATCTACAAATTATTGGCTTCAAAAAGTGAAAGTATTTGGGTTCAAGCTCTGAAGGTTCTAGGATACTTTCTGAAGCATTTAGGGCACAAGTAAGTTGATGTCATTTATTATGGGTTATGGATATATCTGTTGAAATTGTGTTTTCACAGTTTTGTGTCTAATGTAACATGAAAGTTGAGTGTTATAATCCTGTGGAAAATGATCCAGTGGTAAATAATAGATTCCTGTGGAAAAAATTATAGAAATGTTTTATAAAATGTTCTATTAAAAGTGGATTATGGAGTAAGATCAACTTTAAGTTAGTTTATCATTTTATTTTCTTTCCAAAAAGAAACTATTATCTATATTAAGGATATAATAAAATATTGTGTCAAAATAAAATCATGTATGGATATAATTTCAGTGAACACTTTCTTGACATAGGGAATACCACATAGCTTAAGTTTTCTCAGATCTTTTCTTATGTTGTATTGTCATTTATCATTTGAATTGTATTCCTTTTTTTAAAATAATTATACTTGTTGATCACTGTATGCCTTAAGGTCCTAGCATACCTCATTTATCTGCCAAATCCAGAATTTAGATGATTTTTAAAAACACTTTTCCTATAAGTAGCAACCAATTGAATAATTACAATTCATATAATATTGCCCAGTACATAAATATTTTATAAAGTTGCTTTTCTTCACAAATGAACCCAAGGAAGTTGTACTGTCATATAAATATTGACAGATGGGCTTCCTGTTGCCAATTCTTTTGGTGTTTAAATTTACAAAATGTTTATTAGTAACACTGACGAAAACTATACAAAATTCAGATGAGATATATCTAACATGCTAGATAGTCTAGACATTTTCATTTCATATTTCTCAAAAAGGAGAAATAATCAAAATTAAGTTCAAATGCTGAGGGCAGTTCTAAGAGAAGAAGAGATATGACCTAACTAAACATGTATCTTAAAATGGAAAACTTTTGTTCAGTGTTCTGGGTTATGAATAATCAATCACATTGCTCTTTTGAATAGATATTCAAAAGCCAAGTTAAAATAAAAGTAAATGTGCTAATTTAAAATTTTTCTGAAAATTGCAAAATTTTGTAAAGAATTTTATATTTGATATATTTATAACTTATTTTTACAGTTCTTTTTTTTATTGGTAAGTTCCTAAAAGATATTTTACATATTTTTCAGGGTGATCTACAAATTATTGGCTTCAAAAAGTGAAAGTATTTGGGTTCAAGCTCTGAAGGTTCTAGGATACTTTCTGAAGCATTTAGGGCACAAGTAAGTTGATGTCATTTATTATGGGTTATGGATATATCTGTTGAAATTGTGTTTTCACAGTTTTGTGTCTAATGTAACATGAAAGTTGAGTGTTATAATCCTGTGGAAAATGATCCAGTGGTAAATAATAGATTCCTGTGGAAAAAATTATAGAAATGTTTTATAAAATGTTCTATTAAAAGTGGATTATGGAGTAAGATCAACTTTAAGTTAGTTTATCATTTTATTTTCTTTCCAAAAAGAAACTATTATCTATATTAAGGATATAATAAAATATTGTGTCAAAATAAAATCATGTATGGATATAATTTCAGTGAACACTTTCTTGACATAGGGAATACCACATAGCTTAAGTTTTCTCAGATCTTTTCTTATGTTGTATTGTCATTTATCATTTGAATTGTATTCCTTTTTTTAAAATAATTATACTTGTTGATCACTGTATGCCTTAAGGTCCTAGCATACCTCATTTATCTGCCAAATCCAGAATTTAGATGATTTTTAAAAACACTTTTCCTATAAGTAGCAACCAATTGAATAATTACAATTCATATAATATTGCCCAGTACATAAATATTTTATAAAGTTGCTTTTCTTCACAAATGAACCCAAGGAAGTTGTACTGTCATATAAATATTGACAGATGGGCTTCCTGTTGCCAATTCTTTTGGTGTTTAAATTTACAAAATGTTTATTAGTAACACTGACGAAAACTATACAAAATTCAGATGAGATATATCTAACATGCTAGATAGTCTAGACATTTTCATTTCATTTTTTTTTTTTTAAAAATCAGTAGCTGAGTATGGGAGAATGGAGATGAAGGGAACAGTTCAAGCAAAGCCAGCATTGTAGAAAAAGGTCACATTCATATAATGGACTATAAATATACTAAGTGATAGACTACTGGGAGAAAGCACCGATGTACTTTTAATATTAAAAGATAATGATTGCTCATTTAACTTTGGTTAAGTTAAAGAGATTGACTCAGAATGTTAAAGGATTCTAGTTATAAATGCAACTGGCTAGGGCCAGTAGATGGCGTAGTGATTACATTGCTAGACTCCCATATGGCCTGCTGCAGTTTGATTTCTGGACCTGGTGGCTTGAAAATCACACTGGGCCTGTGTGTCTGTGCCCAATACCCCAGGAGAAGAATGGAGAAGGGACTGCTGCTTGTCCATTCCCATAGGGGGTGATTTCTCACTTTACCTCTCACTGTCTCTCTCTCAACTCCCAGTGAGCTTATGTGCCCTAAGGCAAAAAGTACTAAAAGAAAAAAGAAAAAAATAGAAAAAAAATGCAATCACGTAAAAATATCAAGAAAATCTATTTTAAAATAAAGAAAAATACATTTAAAAATAAAGAAAAAAATGTATATTAGCTCATAGATAATACAAAATTAAAATTAAATAACAAACATGTATTTTCCTGTATAAGCTTGTTTAAGATAGCTTCTTTCCCCTTCTTTTACTTCAATAAATAACACAACAGAGAATAAAAATAAAATCTCTCACTGACACAATAGTTAGTAAAAGTAGAAGGATATAATTCATGAACTCCTAGATAGGCATGTCAGCTGTTTAGATTGGGTAAAAGCTATGAAAGAAGAGAAAAGAAAAAATACAAGAATGATGAGAGGGTTCAATGATAACAAATCTCACAAACTGTCAGTCGAAGTACTTCCTGAAGTTATAAGACCTTAAGGTAAAAAAAAAAAAATAGATCTATTTTCTGAAATAATAGATACACATAACAGGATACTTCCTGAATCAGACTGGTTTTAGAAAAAGCCTAAGATGCATAACAAAGGATTATGCAAATGATCCATTTTTCAGGAAGCAATTTATCTTTGTGGCTTTTTAGAAAGAGAATTTTGGGGGACCAAAAAATGGTATAGTGGTTACATCACTAGATTCCCACAGGACCAACCTTGGTTTGAGTCCTGGACACTGTAGCTTGAAACTCAAGCCTGGCTCATGTGTGTGCATGCCAGAGATCCTGGGAGCAGAACAGAGGAAAAGGGATTGCAGTGTGGCAGTTCCCCTGATATATGATTTCTCACTTTCCCTTTCACTGTGTCTGTCTCTCTTTGCCAAGCGTAGCCAAAAGCAAAAACAAACAAAAACAAAAAAAGGAAAGAGTTTTGTTTTGGAAAACAACATTAGTTACCCATTTCCTTTCCTTTACACATGCACATGAAAATCCCTTGCAAATGACTGGGACAGGAAAATTTCAGTATATTGCAAAAATTGAAACATTCAGCATTAGCAGAGGGTTATTTATCAAATTAAAAAAAAAGACAATGGAAAAAAATAAGCAAAACTAACTACTAGGTGAAGACTGCTCCTCAGAAAAATATTGCTATGGAACATATAATAATTATGAATAAAGACTTACTATAAGTTAAAACAGTAAAAAATGAAAGAACTGTTTCTGCAGAAGGGCAACTACTGAACACAATTTTAAGAATTTGGAAGAAACGGCACATAAAATTAAAATGTAGAATCATGAGATAACAAAACTGGGAAAATTTTGAAGGAAAAAACCTGTTACACAGATAAAACAGAAATTGGAAGAAGATCAAAGGATGATAAATTGTGACTAGCATAGTCACAATTTATATAGAAAATAAAAATGAAAACAAAGCAAACAGTATGTATAGATGAAAATGTAAGAGTTTGGAAGAGAGGATACAAATATGAGAAGGACATTTCACCTCTGTGGAAATTCTCCACACTCCAAAAAATTATCTTAGTCTAATCATGAGAGTGCATCGTATATACCCAAAGTGTTGGGTCATCAGAAAAGTCATGACACATTTTTACATAGAGAAACATAGAAAAATGCATCACGATCTGATGACCCAATATTATGCAAATTATTTGACCTGTAGCGTTCAGAACTGTCAAGGCAATGAAAAACAAGGAATGGAAAACTTCAGTAGACCAAAGAAGCTTATGTGGCTGAATGAAAGGTGGTATCCTGGATGAGATCCTGAATAGAAATCATTAGTGGAAAACTGCTTAAATTGAGTAATCAAATATTGTTAATGATACTCTGTCAATGTTGAGTTCTTAGTTTCGACAAACATACTGTGGTTGAAAAGATGTTAATGTTGGAGAAGGCTGGTGAATGCTATTTGAGAACTCTCTGTACTACCTTTCAACTTTTCTGTAAATCTAAATATATTCCATAATGAACAAAATATATAAAAAAGTAGAGAGGACAAACTTGAATAGAAAGACAAACTGTTCCTGAGTAGGAAGTTTTATATTAGGTTGTTGGAAAAGTCATGTCGCATTTTGCATAGAAAAACATAGGAAAAGTGTGTCATGACTTACCTGACTGACAAACTAATAGTTATCTTCAAAATAGAACTCTATCAACAAGTGGTTTTAATAGATGGACAAAATACCCAAATACTCTACCATAACATAGGTATGATGATTCTAGCTTATAAAAATTTTAAAGCAAATGTTATTAGATGTCCACTATGGAAATAAGATTTCTCAACCAAGTGTATTTGTCTAATACCTTAACTTCAAGTATTGTAATGCCTGAGAAGTTACACACTGTGTGAAATCACAGTGTGTTGATAGTTAAATGAATCAATGGGTTATAGGTCTGTTATATATTGACAGATGTGTATCTTAATAGTTTCTTTTTTGGATTATTTGAAATGAGTCCTTTTTTTTTTTCTGACAGAGCCATTACATACAGTATGGCATGGATTCTGGGAATATGGCACTTGTAAAGAAGCATCACTCACTTCTTTCAGCACCAAGCTGTTTGCTATCTTATATATAACTGGGTACAAAAGCAGTAACAGCAGAGAAAACAAGAGAACTAGTGAGGGAATTTCTTTTCCATGTGGTAGAAAGCAGCTGAACTCTCTATGGTAGAGCCCTAAGTTAAAGACTAAAAGGCTGCAAATCTTGAGAGAAGTTTTGTACTCAAAGATTCCTCCTACTTCTCGTCTTTTTACTTCTTCCCCCCTATGCTTGCTCCGTCCACTTCAGAGGAATGTGAACATTGGCTTCTATGTAAGTGACTACCGGAAGACCAAGCGGTACCTGAAATAGGTGGGACACATCTTTCTGTCCTTAAACGTGGGTATATAGAGAAATTGGAGTGCTAGGATGCTGGCTCCAGTGGCCCATGTTCAGAATACCTTACACACCTGCAGGGATCTTGTCATTAAAATGAACAGTTATGAGACCAGCAGGTGGCGTAATAATCACATTGCTGGACTCGCACATAGTCTGCTGCAGTTCGAGTCCTGGACTGGGCAGCTTAAAACTCACGCCAGGTGCATGTGCATGCGTGCCCAAAATTCGGAGAAAAAATTGGAGGAGAAGGGATTGTGGCTTGGCCATTCCCACTGGGGGGTGATTTCTCACTTTCTGTCTCTGGTGAGTACATGTGCCCTGTAGTGAAAAAAAGAACTCTTAAAAAAAAAAAAAAATCACAGCCACGAGTTCTACCATTGACTCTGATAATAATGAAAAATAACTCATCTGAAAGGCCTAGTAACCAGAGGAAGGAGATAAGAGAGTCATCAAAATATACACCCATTGAATAAAACTAGTAAAGGCTGTGGTGAAACATTTGAATTACACATACACACATACACACACACACACACACACACACACATATTATTTTTTGAGAGAGATTTTTGTTATAGGGCGTTGCACTCACCGGAGGACAGAAAGGGAGAAATGGCCATGCCGCAGTCCCTTCTCCTTCATTCTCTCTTGGGATTTTTGGGCATGGATGTACGTGACAAACGTGAGTTGCAAGCTGCTAGGTTTAGGACTCAAACCATAGTTAAGCACATCACCTGCTTGGCCCCATTTGAATTATATTTTTACACAGAGTATTTGAGATTCATTGAGATTCAAGTAGAATGCCAAAAGGTATTATTCTACCCCTTTACTCATGATTTTTCCCCCCAGTTTACTCAAATTATTGGACTGGAGATCAAAGTATAGACA